CAGGAAGTCTATAACACCTGGCTCTGAAATAAGCTTTGGCAGAAGCACATGCACCCACAGTATAAATTTTCTTTCCTTTTTGGGGGGAGGGATAGGGTGATCAAGAATAATATATTATTGTGTTTTACTTTATGAAGAGTTTTCCCTACAACTGTATTACACACACACCTTAAGATAAGTAACACCACTTTTTAATAATAAGTGTTACCGGTAGATGCAAAATCATGCATTTAATTATCAAATAATTTCATTCAGCCCATAAGAGACTGTTTCAAGTTGTACATTACTTCAAGCAAATGGGAAAGCCACAGTAAACATGTTTTATGACTTAACCACTTTTGTTATTTTACTCTTTACAATTTCACTTTCAAATATAAGAGTACGCATTCGCTACGATTCAAGGCTTAGCAACATGTTTTGGTATTCAATAAATGAAACTAATTTTGCTTTACTTTCAGGAATACACTTAAGGTACAGGTAAAGGTCCACCATGAACATTCAAGCACAGAAACAACTTTATTTTTCTCTCTTGTTTTAGGTACCCTGTATCATAAAGGTAATACCTACCGAGTAAAAGTTTGGCGATGTCTTCGTTCACGATGTCCGGGTTCCGAGCCAGGACCTTCTCTGCAATCAACGTGCTACATGAGCCCACCGGCTCCACCGTCACCTGGATATCCCGCTTGCCGTCGTTGTGCCGACCATTGCTGTGGTGATCGATAACTTCCCGGACGGCTTCGTCCAGCACGGCATCCCTTGGGGGCAGTGTGTTGTGGTCCACCAGGGTCAGTGTCAGCCTGCCTGCGGCATGCTGGGAGTGGAGGTCCACGTCATCACGAAACACTAAGGAGGACGCCCCGATGTGGTGGACCAGACTCAGGAAGTGGGTGACCTCTGTGCGGAGGTGATAGTCCTCAAAGGGAATGTTCAGGACTGGTATGACAACATCCCCCCTGGTTCCTGGTACTTCCTGTTCCTGGGTCAAGGTTCAGAGGAAGGAAGTCAAACACAAAGCCATGTCCCTGTAAATGAATATGCTCAATAACAGCAGCTTTCTGAACGGTGGTTCCTGAACAAACAATGTATATAAAATGTGCATGAAACACTAGCTGACTAGTATACATGTATGTATATACACTGTGCATCTTTGCTCGAAAATGCTACAATGGCCGCACATGTTATTTTATGTCTACATTTATCAACTGAAATGAACTCTTTAATTTTTTTTTTTCATGGAGCAATCATAATAATTCACGGTGGCTTTCATTTACCCACGAATATTAAAGTTTATGGAAAATGCGCTCAAGTGCAAACTACACTATCGGTATACCGTACATGTACATTAATATCACATTCACCTTTCAAGAAAACAAAGCGTATTGGCGTATTACCAGTGCATACCGGTAAATGTCTTCAATTTCTTAAGCTTCCCTATGCTTTGCTATTTAATTACTGAATGTCAAACAAATTCCCCGAAGTTAAAGCTATTCAGGGAGTTGTAAAGGGTACACTGAGCAGATGTCGAAGTCAAGCATCTTGTCCATATGTATACTAGTATGTATGTATGTATGTATCATTGCTACCTTTATCTGGGGAAACACTACTACATATACGTACTGTACATTTAGTATTTCTCTTATATGTATGCATTTTAGGAGTAATGAACCCTCTTCATTGATCTGGGCTGGAGCTAGTGGCTCCAAATTTGTTCAAGTGCAAAGCATTTGCCCTATCTCCTCCCATTAGGCATCTTGCTGAATGTATCCATACCACAAGTTTGCAACACAGCTGAAACGAGAATCCTTCTGAATGATGAATGCATTAACATGCACAGGTGGGCGTTGTCGCTGAGTGCAGCGCACTGGACCACGACTGTATTCATGCAAGCCTTGGCCCCATCAAATGAAACAACACTGTGTACTCTGACACTTGTGTTAACTATAAAATGCAACAGTGTACCGTAACTTTTCTCAAGTTGTCCATTCTGTTATTACACTTAGCGGGAATGCGGTAAGATATAATGTACAGTGTCCAGGCACCACGAAGCTCCACTGTAGTGTGGAATGTTGGGGAATTCACTTGTCTGAAACCTTAAATTCGTTGGGTTCACCACGAAGTGGCGTATTGTGGATAGTTGCTGCACCACGAACTGACGTACCTCTAGGCCTGTCATGTGTACAAGTCTATGGACAGTATGTCACTTCATGATGCACTAAAATTATCCTACACATGTACATGTACGTCACTTTGTGGTGAAACTGACAAATTATATACATGTACCGTTACGGCAATACATGTACGTGTACATGTATGTCATAGGATTCCTGTAACATGGTTTTCATATGATTTAGGCAGCTTCAAAGCAAAAAATGTGTTGAGGAGCGTGAAGGGGGAACTGTGTATTGTCACACAGGATACTCAATGTTTAACCTACTGAATCACACAGCAACCAAATGACAGGGTTGTCAGAAAAGCCTTCTTCATGTACAATGTACATGTACACATACCGATACAATGCAGGTAGTTCCAACAATAGAAACTGTACAGTGTATGACACTTGCTGAATCTAATGGAATCCCACAGCTCAGACAAAATACTTTCCTTTCAATTCTGACATTGAAAAAATCCATCGTCAGATTTGCATGTACATGTATGGATATTGTTTGATCTCCAGTTAAAAGCTGCAATATTTGTACCTTTGCCAAGTGGTAGGCCCAAACAAGTGCTGAAATGGCAGAATCCAAATCACAAGACTCGTTGCTCAGGACAACATGAACATTCAGAGAAGTATGGCCTCGTGCTGATTCCTAATGCAAGTACACAGGGGGAAAAGGTTGATTGGTTACAAATGTGTAGTACTGGCGAGTGTTACAGCTACATGTATGCCAGTTGGGGATCGTTCTAAAGTCTGGCACTAAGCCAGGTGAAACAGCCCACCAATTGGTACAAAAATCCTTAAAATCCCGGAAAAATATTAGTCACTATGAAAAATTCATATTTTTACCTGGAAGGATTAAACAATTTGGGCTCAAGATTGATCAATTTGAAAAGAAAAATTCACTGAGAAAGCGATCTACATTCCCTTTAAGCAGGCCCCTGGACCCCTGCCGTGACCCGCAAGACTCTAGTCCGCCATTGCTAAATTGTCCCATACTAAAATATTGCTGGCTATAACACTGGTACCAGGAATGATATTGAAATGAAATGCAAAAACAAAAGCTGCTGTAAACTGCAGTGCTTGTGAGCTGGGTCATTCCATGAGGTTGAGGCACAATTTGTGACAGTGGCAACTGTTACGTGGGTTCCATAAAAATGAACAGTCATTTCCCTGCATGTGGATTCCAAATTGACATTGTTTTACATCTTGCAAGGCTAGATGCAGAGGTGTGTGTTATTTTTAGAGTAAATGACCTACTCCAGAGGTCATGACAGGTGGTAAAAGTTTTGGATGTACATGTAACAAGGACACCGTCACAAATTGTGCCCCAACCTCATGGAATGACCCAGCTGCAAAAAAGCCTAAAATATACATACTGAAAAAGGTAGAGGGCTCAACTATTTGATCTATCTCACAAGCCTTTAGGAAACATTCTGCTGGTTTGAAATGCCTGACCCTCTAAATTTTCGATATAATTATTTTTTAAAGAGCCTTCATTCGTCCAACTCCTTTCACTTTTTGGGCCACGTCTTAAAAGATGACTAACAGGCAAGTTGGAAAAGCAGGCACTGCAGGCTAGATGAACTCTCCAGGAGAATGAGTCACACTTTCTGACAAAGTGCATGTATGCATGTTATAAAAAAATCAAGTCCAAAGCATCCGCTGATGTCTGTCATGTCTATGATAGAGGAATAATGTCATGAGACATCTGGATAAGCCCTACTGCTTGTCATAGCCCAACAGCAGAGGGCCTCGCAAGGAGAGCAAGAGGGGGAATACTTGCCCCACTGGAAAAATTGAAACATAAAAATGGGGAAAAATAAGAGAAGGAAATGGGATGAAAATCACCAATTTGCTCGAAAATATGTGTTCATGTACATGTACAGGTACCTTGGAATGGATCCCCTTCCAACATGTGCATGTACGTATGGTTTATCATTTTTTTTAAAGGCTCTAAAATTTGCCATTAGCGATAACAGTTGATTAGACGTTGAATAAAATTGAGTGTCCACCTAGTGAATATTTAGTGAAGCTCAATTGCAGAATACCCCACCATCCCACATTGCATGATCAACCTCATAGCCAGGTACAGGTCAAAATGTCCCACTCTTCTCAAGAAAGTGGTACCTACGTAACCAGTCATTCCAGGGGTCTATTTTAGAGTGGCGGGGTATTCTGCAATTACTCCTTTAGTGGATAGACGTAGGCCTACATAGTACATGTAGGCCTAGGCCCCCTAATGGTAATTTGTTCCACAGTGCTGTGTGCCAGAATTTTATTACACTCCATTAAAATCTTCACAAACGTATAGGAATGCGACAAAAACCCCTCCCCCAAAAAGCCACTAGCACTCCAGGTTCCAGCAGGCACTAGCATAAAAAATATTATGATGCATACAGGCCTAAGGCCTAGTACTAGGCCTTGGCCCAATGAACATGTACCCCACAGTTTGGGGGTAGCCTACATCATTGTGCGTACCAGTTCCATGCTGTTGACATGTTGTCATGCATAGTTGAGGAAATGACTTACCAAGCAGTCTTTTGTCTCTCTCAGAAATGTGTCCATCGCAACAAGAACATTTGGGTTTCAAGACTCTGATATGTAATGCAAATGCACAAATCCGAGTCCCATGCTTGGGGTCACAGCATCATCTAGCTACTGTAGCTACCTTCCAAATCAGAGCTCGTACTCGTAGCCGAAGTCAGGCATGATCTCGAACACAACGCGGAAAAAATTGTGCGAAGTTAACACCCACCAATTACGTGTAGTCTGGCTCCGATAAACAAATTTTTCTCGACAGCTACAATTGATGCGGCGGAGCGCTAGACTTATGAAATCGACCTCCTTCGTGACTCCAAAATGCATCAAGTACCATGACGCGTCTAGCCTGAGTCCCAACTGCCGATTGTGACCCTGCGATTCGTTTCACGAGCAGGTACGAGAGTTATTTACTTTATTTCCCCTCTCGTCTATTTAAGTGAATCTTTTTCCTTGTGTTGTTTGCTTTTGTATCATCACTTCGTAAAAGTAGAGGAAAGGGACTTTCGATTCTGCCTCCTGTGACGTAGCAAGACACGTACACGACTTGAATTCGCATAAAATACACTGTATTAAGTACAACTGGTGTAGTGATGTTTTCATACAACTGCATGTAGTGGCAGGGAATCAGACAATGCGTCCATTACGTTGTGCTGTGCTTTGAAGTCTGGTCCTTTACTAGCTAATTCTTACTACAGAGTCCACGTAAAAGGAGGACCACTGATCTGAGGGCTTGGAAGGTTGGGAACTTATTATTACCATGATGTTCCTAAATGTTTTTCCCTTCCTCTATTATGTCTATGTCTTGTATTCAGCATTAACATTATATTTTACTGTTATTATTAAGCAAAGTGCATGACATGTCTGGAGTGTATAAAAGTGTATATGTGCAGCAAGCATAAACAATGTGCAGTTGAGTGTTTTTTCCACCCCAAAACACATTGCTTCATGTGGAATCCTATCCCCAGCGGACGACGAGCTTAATAACAGTTCTGACTATAATGGAATCCAACATTAAACTGTAGGATTTTTCACTCTTTTTGTGATCTGCAGGATTTTTCACTCTTTTTGTGATCTGTTGGTGGCTTTCAAGGGAAATAAAGTCTGATTCCATCTTTTTAACCCATATTCACAGTGGTAATTTGAACATTAACCCCCTTGATGATGGGAATTTCTTCCCAAAAGCTGACTCCAAGAATTCCAGCCTTGCTTGGCCACGAAGGCCACCTACCAAACCGTAAATTCTCAGTTTGTGGCCCTGCGTGCTCTGCACGCTTTGAATTACACGGTGAAAAGGCTGACTGTTTGGTGGCATGCGGCTCTACTCAAGTTTCCACATTCCCGCTGCC